TCCCTTCCCTTCCCGCACCTTCCCTTCCCTTCCCTTCCCTTCCCTTCCCTTCCCTTCCCTTCCCATCCTGGCTGCTCATGGGGAATGTGGGGAAACCTGGGGCTGGCAGGCGAGGCCCCAGCCTGTGCTCCAGAGCAGGGTGAGCCTTGGAGAGGGAGAGCAGAGGTGGGAAGTACTGAGTGGGGAAATGAGGGGTGGAACACCAGGGAAAAAACTGGGAATCCTTAGGGAAAAAAGCTTGACCCAAGGGAGAAAGAAACCCGTAGCAGAAAGCCATCACCCCAGTGAGTTTCTCTGCAGTCAGATCCCTGTGAACCCTGCACAGTGAGGTGCCCAAATTGGAATTGAAGCTTTGGAGCTGGAAAAAACCATCTTGCAATAGAAGGTGGATGGTGTGAAATTCCAGTTATGGAATGGATGGGCACTGTAGGGAACAAGGAGCAGCAAACCTGAGCAGTGGGAAAGACCAGGATTCACCTTGGGGGTGTGGAAACAGCCAAGTAGCCAGAATTATTCCTTCTTATTCCTTCTTCCACTGGAAGTATATCCCTATGGATCCTTCAGTCCTGAGTTGCTCTGCCAGAGGAGCCCTGTGTGTCCAGCTGGGAGTTTCCAGAGCTGGTTCTTCCATTCCCAAAGGAGCTCTCCTCCTCCTCCTCCATTCCTGAGCTTTCCTGTCTCTGCATCTTTTTAACCCATTTGTACATTAATTTCTTATGCACATAAGAAATCCTGAGCAATCCTGAACACCTTATCTCCTGCCAAAGGAGGAACATCTTGTATGGAATGGCAGCAGGGGGATGGAATAAAGCCAGCCTGCTTGGCTTGGGATGGGGCTGCAGCCCCAGGACCCCATTTTCCATGGAGGATGGGAGCATTCCCAAGGCTCCAGGCAGGTGAAGGGGCCTCCCCTGGCTCTGGGGGTGACCCTGGGGCAGGTTTGGGGCACAGCCAGCTGCTCAGGGATTGCTGAGCTCCAGTTCAGGAGCTGGGGCTCCAAAGGACATTCCCCCAACCAAGGGGAATTGGCAACCAGAGAATATTTCTCAGGTTGGGGGTTGTTCTGATCAGTCATGGTGCTCATGGAACAGGCTGGGAGCAGGTGAGGCCACTCTGGGGCCAGAGTCACCAGTTCAGGCATGGAGGAGTCAGGCATGAATCCCAGAAAGTCTGGGCTGGAGAGACCCCAAATCCCACCCATTCCCAGCCCTGCCATGGCAGGGACACCTCCCACTGTCCCAGGAGCTCCCAATGTCCAGCCTGGCCTTGGGCACTGCCAGGGATCCAGGGGCAGCCCCAGCTGCTCTGGCAATTCCATCCCAGCCCCTGCCCACCCTGCCAGGGAACAATTCCTGCCCCAGATCCTCAACCCCAATATTTTCAACCAACCAGGGAACTGCCCCTGGATCCCTGGCAGTGCCCAAGGCCAGGTTGGACACTGGGGTTTAGAGCACCTGGGACAGTGGGAGGTGTCCCTGCCATGGCAGGGCTGAGGAAGAGATGGTCTTTAGGGTCCCTCCCGACCCAGTCCCCTGCAGGATTCCATGGTGCCGGTGCTTTGCTCCTGGTGCTGCCCCTGCACAGCGATGCTCGAGCAGAGCTGAGCTCCAGGAGTGCAGCTTCAGGTGCCAGCATCGACCTGCTCACCTGGGGCTCCTGCTTTGGGTTGTGAGGGTGCCACCAGGGCAGCAGGACTGGAGCCATGAGATGCCTGTGAGGGTGGAATGGCCCTGGACGTGCCCCGTTCTCGGGTGGTGGCTCCAGGTGGGGTGAATCACGGTGGGGTGAACCACGCAGCCACTCTCTGCGTCAGGCAAGATGCTCAGATAAGGTGTTCAGAGGCACCTACAGCAGCAATGCTGGAGTTTTCCGTGGGCTGGGCATTAATCCAGCATGTTCAGCACCAGCTTAAAGCTGCTTCTGCATTAAACAGGCCTTAACTGCTGGCACCAGGTGGGACAGGGCTGGTGGCTCAGGGGTAGTGGGGCAGTGCCAGTGGGACAGGGCTGGTGGCACAGGGACAGTGGGACAGGGCCGGTGGCACAGGGACAGGGCCGGTGGCAGCGGGGTGGTGGCAGTGGCACAGGGCTGGTGACAGCGGGGCAGTGCCGGTGCCAGCAGGGCTCCGTGGGCCTCACTGCCCTCACTCCTGCCGTGTCTCGTTGCAGCTCCGGCCTTGCCCAGCACAGTCCGGCAGCGCCTGGTGGAGCCGCAGCACGGCCACGGATCGCAGAGGTTGGTAGAGAGTCCCGTGCCAGGGCAGCCCGAGGCCGGCCCCGTGGCCCCGCTGCGGGCGGGCCGAGTGTCCCTGCGCCGAATGCACAGCCTCAGCTCCGGACAGTCCTTCAGCTCCGACCCGCCCGGCTCCACCTCCTCCACCTCCTGCTCCTCATCCACCACCACCGCACCTGCTCCTGCTTGCCATGTCCACCCTATCTATTACCATCACACCACCTCTTATTTCCTCCAGATGGATTCCATCCCCGACCTGCCCCCTCCTGATGTCACCTCTGGAGTTCGCTGTCGCACTGGGAGCTTTGGGTATATTGCTGTTTCTTTTCTAGCTGCCTCCTGCGCCTCAGAGCTGGTGCTTGCTGGGGTGCTCTTTCTCTCACATTCCTCCTGCCCTTTTTCTCCGGGCCTTTATTCCATGGTTTATCCGCTTTTTTTCCTCCCACTGCTCTCCCGAGCCTCTAAGGAGGATTCCATGGGCCGTCCCTGCACCCACGAGCTCAGTGTGGGCCTTCCCAAGGTGCTCTGCTGTTGTTTTACTGGAGCTGAGCAAATGGAAATTCCCAGGTGCTCGGTATTCCCTGAAGAAGGGGGTGTGAGGAGGTAACAGAACCCATCACCAAACCTGGCCTCATTCGAAGCCTGGACCTCCCTGGGCTCCTCACAAGTGAATTGCAAAGGGAACAGGATGGGTAGGGACCACGAGGTAGCAGCTGGAGAAATTTGGGATGCCAGAGTGGCAGTTCAGGAGTGACTCCTGGAGTGACCCTGCCTCTGGTTCGGTAGGGATGAGGGATTGGGGAGTTTTGGCTCAGGAATGTCTGAGGAGGGAGCTGGAGCTGCTTTTGTTTGCTTTAGCTTGGTCCCTTTCAGTTGGCTCTGGAGAGCTGGTGCATCCTCGGGACCGGTTATCCTCCATCCCTAAATCCCAGAGCTGTCCCAGTTCACCTCGCTGACGACAGGGAGGAGCAGGAATCCCACCTGGTGCTGCAAGGGGGCCCTGCCAGGAATGCTGTGTGTCCCAAGCTCAGCACCAGGTTCCTCGGGTGGCTTTCACCCGAGTGAGACCCCGGATGTCCTCATCCCACGGGTCCTGGGTGCAGCCAGTCCCAAGTGTCCCTGCAGGTGTGGGATCCCCTGGGATCGGGCCAGGGGGTCTGTGCTCGTGGCCTCAGGTGTCTCCATGCAGGCAGTGGGAAGGCTGTGATGGACCAGGGAATGCTGTCCCTGCCAGGTACTGCCTGTGGCCCTGGACAGGTTATTCCATCTCTGTTCCATGCTTTCTCCATGGCAAAACCAGAAACGCTCTCCTGATCCTCGGTATTGGGGAGCAGACTGCTGGGAGAAGGCTGGAAGTCTCTGGGTGAGGCAGAGGATGGGAGAAATGTCCTTCCAGCATAATTTCTCCGGGCAGGGAAACATTGCCAGTCACCACATCTTCACCCATCCCAGCACGTTGTCCCATTATCCCCTTACCTGTGGGTCCCTGTGCCCTCAGGTGCTGGGATCTCTCCTGGCCTTGCTCACAGTCTCTGGTTTGGATGTTCCACCCCCTCCCTGCCCAAGCCGAGCAGCCCCAGGCACATTCTGGAGTCTGGAATTCCAAGGTGGAAATTCCTGCACCTGCTCCACAATGGAGAATTAAAGAGCAGCATCTCAGTTAATTCAGCAATGGTTGGTTGGGGATGATGAGAGGCAGTGTAATTAATTAACTCCTACCAGTGGGAGCTCCATTGCAGCTGTCCCAGTTGGACTGGTAAAAGCTGGGAATGCTGCTGGTCCCTGCTTCCAGTGCCTCCCTGACTGCAGGAGGGAGAGCTCATCCTGGCAGCCTGGGGCTCATGTCCTGTGTCCAGAACAGCTGTTCAAATGTGATTTATTTCCACCTGAGGCCCGTGGCACACGGAATTCCTGCCCGAGTCCCTGCAGACATCTGCGAGTGGCAGAGGACAGAGGGGTCCGGTGTGGGGGCCCAGGGAGGGAAGGGGGCAGTGCCAGAGGTCGTTAGGAGGGGATAAGTGTGGGCTCCCCTGGTCAGAGCCCAGCTGGTCACCGCTGGGTGCCAGCAGCTCTGTCCTCTCCCCGCTGCCGTGGCAAAGCCCGGCCGGTGACGCAGGAGAAGCGATGGAGTCAGAACCTCCCCCCTGGGATTTGCTCCAGCTGCCCCACACAGGCAGCTCCCCCCAGCCCACCCAGCCCTGCTCAGCCCAGCAGCAGAGATGAGGAGCTGGGCGCCCAAAGGTGTGGGTTTGTCGCTTTTAATGGTTTTATCCAACCGCATCATTAGCAGATCCTGCTTTGATGCGTCCCTAAAGGCGCCGCTGCCGGGCCGATGGATTGCTGCTCCTCCTTGACATCCCCGGTCCTGGAGGCCTTTCCCTACATCCCTGGAGCTCCACAGCCTCCTGGGGAGGCTCAGAAAGGCCCTCCAGGGAGTCACTCCAAGGACCAGAGCAGAGCCCCAAAGATTCCTGGCTCCCTGGGTAGAAGGAATGTGCCACCCTGGTGGTGGGGGCTGCTGGAGCTCTTTAGCCTCTCCCACATCCAGCAGATGCCAAGGCTGGGCAGAGCTCACAGGAGAAACCTCTCCAAGGAGCTGCCCCCCGAGCAAGGCTGGGGATCTCCGGAGTCCTGCTGGGGTTGTGCTGGCAGGGAGCCGCTCCCTCACTCCTCACTCTTTGCTTCTCTTTTGCAATTGGCTTCAGAGGATCCGGCGCCAATAAGGTCAGAGCGGCTGCGGGGTCGGGGGGAGAGGGGCTGGAGGGGCTGGGGGTGCACACAGGTTTCTGCTGCCAGTGCCTGCCTCAGGTGGATGAAACCGATGGAGATGAGAGCCTAGCACCAAATCCCCGTGCCCAGGCCCTTCTCCAGGCAGGAAGGGAGCGGCAGCTAAAGCTCAGGGAAGGGAGAGAGTCAGGAATGCAGGGAAATGAGTAATTCACAGCTCTGGCAGGGTGCAAGCCGCTGTTGGGTTTGCGTTCAGGCTGCGCCAGGCTTGGCCCCACAGCACATTTGGGAATTTGCTTTAAGAAAAGCCTTGGTCCCTGGTGCTGCGTGCACGAGGGCTCTGTGGCTGCTGGAGCACAGCCAGGGCAGCTCCTGGGCCGCGCAGGGCTGGACCCGAGCGGGAACGCCCAGAGAAATGGGCTGCAGGGCTGGGGAAAAATAGGTGTTTGTTCTCCATCCTCCTCCTCCTCCTGCTCCTCCCCTGCTGCTCCTCCCCTCCCAGGCTTCCTGTGCTCCTGGCATTCCTTACTCCATGCTTTGCTCTCTGCTTCTTTTGTTTGCCATCCCCATCTCCTCACCCTCCCTCTCTCCCTCGCTCGGGTGGATCCTGGTGGGGTGGGAGGAAGCGCAGGGGGAAGCAGGTCCGTCCTGCCTTAGGCAGGTGAGCACTGGCAGGGTCGCTCTGTGGAGGTGGTGGGAGTGCCTGGATCCATGGAAGAGAGCAGGGAGCACTGCTGGGATGGAGGAAGGCTCGGGCTCCCAGGTATTTCCCTGTCCAGTTGCTGCTCCGTGCTTTCCAGCAGAGATGAGCTGTCAGGGGCTCCTGCTGCTCTGCAGAAACACTTCCTCTGATCCCTTCCTGGGATCCCATCAAGGCCAGCCGTGTCCTGGGATAGCTTTTCCTCTTGAAAATGTGCCACAGCAGTTCAGGAGCATAATCCTCATGGAAATCAGTGGATACAGGCCAGGCCTTGGCTGAACCTCATCTGGGATGATGGCAGTGTCCTGGGAATGCTCTTTCCTCCCTCTCGTCCTGGCATGGGCTCAGGAGTGTCCAGTGCTCTTGCTGTCTCTGACCCAGCCAGTGTGATCCCGGGAATCCTGTCCCTGCTGTTGTGCACTTCCTTGTGGGAGCCACCAGGAAAAGGCTCATTGGGGGCTGAAGAGAATCCCACGAGTTCCTGGCCATTGGTGTTGAGCTCCCAGAATCGGCCCGTGGGTGCCACGGGAGGAGTGCAGGAGGTCCCTGGGATTGTCCCTGGCGTGGTGGCTGTGTCCTGTGTGCCGGGATGTCCCTGAGCCTGGCACCGCAGGGTGGGCACTGCTGCTGTCACCAGCTCTTCCCTGTGTCCTGAAGGAATACATTCCTGAGTTACAGCTGGAGAGACTGTGCACGAGCAGAGTTAGCTTAGGCCACTGGAATATTTGGGAATTGTGCTCTTGGGCATCTGCTCCTTCAGTCCCCCTGGATGAGCCCAGAGGGGAGAAGTGGGGCTGCAACGAGGTGGAACCCGTGTGGTGCATCAGCTCCATGGCCGAGGATCCCAGAGAGCAGCCACCCCAGGGATGGGGATGTGAGCCCCCAGCTCCCCCCGTGCCGCAGGGAGGGCAGGCCCAGGGGGTGGCACGGTGGCCGTGGTGTCCCCCAGGCCCTGCCCGGCTGCTGTCCCACCTCCCCCGGCGCGGGACCGGCCGGCCTGGGATGGGGTTCCCAGCGCCCAGCCCTCCTGGAGCAGGGCATGGCTCTCCATCTGCTCCCGTGGGTTCTCCACGCGCTGCCAGTGCTGCAGGATTGCTCTGGTCCCTGCTGGATTGAAACCTGCTGAGGGAGCGGCTCTCTGGAGCCCAGCGAGGAGCACTCACCCTCTTCACACATTCCTGACGTCTCCTTGGTGGAAAAAATGCCATTTTTTCCTGTATTTGCTGCTGTCTCGCTCTTTTAAAGGATTACTATCACCAACCCTCACCCGGATGGCTCCCTGTGGGATCCCTGGGATGGATTTCCTGGCAAAGAAGATTCCTGGGTGGAGTTGGGACACTGACTGTGAAGTGTTGCTGTGCCTCCATCCCCAGCCAGGGCACGCTGGGGCTCCCCCACCTCCTCCATGACCTGAGTCCTGAGTAAGCACTGCATTCCTGCCAGGATCCAATCCTGCCTGTCCCTGATCCTGGCTCCAGCCAGCACCATTCTGTTACTGCTGAAGATGAATAGATCACACGCACACAGGTCGAGGTGTGCTGAAAGGAAGAGAAAGTTTATTTTTCCTCCCAGGATTTATAGGCTTGTGACCACGGCCAGGGATTGGATGGTCAGGATAACACTTTCTCACTGCACTGGCCATGAGAGATGCCCATCACAAGACGTGGAACAGAAAGAATGGACACATATCTATGTTTACAGTTACTGTCCTGGGAAAGTCTTTGCAAAACCGTGGCAGCAAGCTCAGAAGCTGAGTTTTCAGGATGACACCATTCCTGTGCCCAGGTTCTGCCCCACAGCCTCGTCCCTTCTCCCAGCTCTGCTGGGACCCAGCGCCAGCCACTCCATGTGCCAGCTCCTGCAGCCAAAGTCTGCTTGGTTCTCCTGGAAGGGAACTGCTTCCCAGGGAATTGTGGAGGAAATAAACCTCTGGAAGTGGGTGTTCTGCCCCGGTGGCATCTCAGCAAGGGCTCAGCCATGTGCAGGTGGGGGCTTCTGCCACCTTCCCTGTGAGAGGAGAGTCCAGGCAGGAACTCCCAGCAGAAATTCCCCTTTGCAGGTGTGGTAAGCCATGAGCAAGAAAACACTTGGGAAGAGCAGGAGATTGCTGAATTCCTTGCAGGAGTTGGAGGTTGTGATGGCAGTGACGTTCCACCTGCAGGCCCTGGCTGAGGTGTCCCAGCCCAGGTGTGTGGCTGTGTCCATGTCCTGGGAGTCAGCTCCAACACCTCATGTACCGCCCCACGGTGTTCCATGGCTGCTGCTGTTCCCCAGGCCCAGTTTTATCCCAGTTTTCTCCCAGTTATCCCAGTTTTATCCCAGTGTTATTCCAGTTTTATCCCAGTTTTATCCCAGTTATCCCAGTTTTATCCCAGTTTTATCCCAGTTATCCCAGTTTTATCCCAGTTTTTTCCCAGTGACAGCCATGGGACCAGCCGTGGTGACCTTGGCAGTATTGGCTGGTGGCCCTGGGAGCTCGGTGCCGTGTGATCCATGGCTGTTGTGTCCCTTGGAGGGGCTGCAGCTGCTCCCTGGGAGGAGCTGGGGATTTCCCAGCCTCAGGATTGTCCCGTTCTCCCGGCTGCTCCCCGGGCTGGGCTCCGTGTGCGAGGACAGGGCCGATGGCAGCGGTGCCCGGGCTCTGTGCTGCTGGGGAAGAGAAGAGCTCAGGTGTTCTCCACCGCCGGGCTCCCCCAGCACACCCAGCTGAATCCCAGCCACCCCTGGGCTCTCAGGGTTCCCTTTTCCTCTGGGTGTTCCTGCAGAACGAGGGCCCGACTTTGTTCCCTGGGTTTTGTTAAAGAAGTGCACTTGTTCCAGGACGAGGAGAACGTTCTGGGCCTGTTCCAGCTCCCCGTGCCGGGAGTGCAGCGTGTGCAGCATTTCTGTGGAGAGCAGCGAGCAGTGGTGTCCCTGAGGCCAGCACCGGGCCCAGCACTGGGAAATGCCTTTGTTGGTGCCAGGGCCACGGCTCCAGGACAGCCCCACACACCGGCAGGGCCAGCCAGGGGCTGCGTGCTGCGCTCACACGCCGCAGGGAGGGCACGGGGCAGCCACGGGCTCCTGGCCAGGCTGCAGAGCTGGGACCGTGCCAGCCTCGGGCAGCTCAGCAGCACCAAGGGCAAGGGGCTGCACCTGGCCCGGGGCAACGGCAGCACAAACAGCCTGGGACAATGGCCTGGGAGCAGCCCTGGGGAGAAGGAGCTGGGGATTGCTGGGAGAGGCTCCCCAGGGCCTGGCCACGAGCACTGGGAGCTGGGCTGATCCCACAGCGTGGGCAGCAGGAAAGGGATTGATTGGGATTGTGCCCCTGTGCTCAGGTGAGACCTCACCTGCAGAGCTGCCCCAGCCCTGGGGCCCAGCACAGGGAGCAGCTGGAGCTGCTGGAGAGAGCCCAGAGGAGGCTCCAGGGATGCTCTGAGGGCTGGAGCCAGGCTGGGAGAGCTGGGGGTGCTCAGCTGGAGAGGAGAAGCTCCAGGGAGAGCTCAGAGCCCCTTGCAGGGCCTGAAGGGGCTCCAGGAGAGCTGGAGAGGGACTGGGGCCAAGGGCTGCAGGGCCAGGAGCCAGGGAATGGCTGCCAGTGGCAGAGGGCAGGGCTGGATCTTGGGATCTTGGGCAGGAATTGTTCCCTGGCAGGGTGGGCAGGGGCTGGGATGGAATTGCCAGAGCAGCTGGGGCTGCCCCTGGATCCCTGGCAGTGCCCAAGGCCAGGCTGGACATTGGGAGCTCCTGGGACAGAGGGAGGGCTGGCACTGGGTGGTCCTCAAGGTACTTTCTCACCCAGACCACTCTGGGATTCCTGAACATCTCCCCAGTTGTGCCTGGACGTCTCCCCAGTGCCAGCTCTCTCGAGGAGGTTTTCCCTTGCCTTGCTGCTCTGTTCAGGTGTTGGTGGTGGTGCTGTAGGAGATGATCTGGGGGCTCCTGTGCAGGGCCAGGCAGGTTGGGTGAGCCACGCTCAGGGACAGTGCCAGGAGCACAGGTCAGGGGGGCTCCAGGGCGAGGGACAGGGCAGCACCTCCCATCTCTTCTCACCCCCTTTCGCTTCTCTTGTCCCTCGCTCCTTTCCTTTCCATTTCCCTGCCATTCCTGTAACCTCCTGTGCGTGGGGCAGGGCCGGGCCCCTCACCCCATCCCACGGCCCAGGCGTGCCATAGGGGCCCCGGGGACGTGGGGCCAGCAGCCATCCATCCATCCATCATCCATCCATCATCCATCATCCATCATCCATCCATCATCCATCATCCATCATCCATCCATCATCCATCATCCATCATCCATCCATCATCCATCATCCATCATCCATCCATCATCCATCATCCATCATCCATCCATCATCCATCATCCATCATCCATCCATCATCCATCATCCATCATCCATCCATCATCCATCATCCATCATCCATCCATCATCCATCATCCATCATCCATCCATCATCCATCATCCATCATCCATCCATCATCCATCATCCATCATCCATCCATCATCCATCATCCATCATCCATCCATCATCCATCATCCATCATCCATCCATCATCCATCATCCATCATCCATCCATCATCCATCATCCATCATCCATCCATCATCCATCATCCATCATCCATCCATCATCCATCATCCATCATCCATCCATCATCCATCATCCATCATCCATCCATCATCCATCATCCATCATCCATCCATCATCCATCATCCATCATCCATCCATCATCCATCATCCATCATCCATCCATCATCCATCATCCATCATCCATCCATCATCCATCATCCATCATCCATCCATCATCCATCATCCATCATCCATCCATCATCCATCATCCATCATCCATCCATCATCCATCATCCATCATCCATCCATCATCCATCATCCATCATCCATCCATCATCCATCATCCATCATCCATCCATCATCCATCATCCATCATCCATCCATCATCCATCATCCATCATCCATCCATCATCCATCATCCATCATCCATCCATCATCCATCATCCATCATCCATCCATCATCCATCATCCATCATCCATCCATCATCCATCATCCATCATCCATCCATCATCCATCATCCATCATCCATCCATCATCCATCATCCATCATCCATCCATCATCCATCATCCATCATCCATCCATCATCCATCATCCATCATCCATCCATCATCCATCATCCATCATCCATCCATCATCCATCATCCATCATCCATCCATCATCCATCATCCATCATCCATCCATCATCCATCATCCATCATCCATCCATCATCCATCATCCATCATCCATCCATCATCCATCATCCATCATCCATCCATCATCCATCATCCATCATCCATCCATCATCCATCATCCATCATCCATCCATCATCCATCATCCATCATCCATCCATCATCCATCATCCATCATCCATCCATCATCCATCATCCATCATCCATCCATCATCCATCATCCATCATCCATCCATCATCCATCATCCATCATCCATCCATCATCCATCATCCATCATCCATCCATCATCCATCATCCATCATCCATCCATCATCCATCATCCATCATCCATCCATCATCCATCATCCATCATCCATCCATCATCCATCATCCATCATCCATCCATCATCCATCATCCATCATCCATCCATCATCCATCATCCATCATCCATCCATCATCCATCATCCATCATCCATCCATCATCCATCATCCATCATCCATCCATCATCCATCATCCATCATCCATCCATCATCCATCATCCATCATCCATCCATCATCCATCATCCATCATCCATCCATCATCCATCATCCATCATCCATCCATCATCCATCATCCATCCATCCATGCAGCCGGGAGGAGCGAGCTGTGATTTGTCATTTCCCCCGTCCTCCTGCCTCCCTCTCTCCAGAGGCTCCGGGAGCCGCTCTGGCCCCGTCCCCGGCAGGCACAGGCTGGGCACAAACCGCGTGCAGCGGCGGGGCTGGGCATGGCTTCGTGTGGGCACGCCAAGCTCCAATTCCTGCCCGATTGCTGGGATTAGAGGCTGGCAGCGGCTGGGCCGGGCGGGAGGCACGCACACGGATGTGGCGAGGGCTGAGGGACCCTCCGGGCAGCCTGGGGGGGCTCGGGGCTTGGGGCGAGCCGGGAGCGGGGAGAAGGGAGCCCCCATCCCGGTTCCGTGTCCTCGCTCCATGCGCTGGCACAGCTGGGCAGAGCCGGGGTGGGCTCGCTCGGGGGTCCCGGGGGTCCCCTCAGCCGCCGCCTCCATCCGTGCGTGCGGGGCCGGGCGGGCCGGCACTGACCCCCTCTCTCCGCCCTCCCCACCGCAGAGATTTAACTCGCTGCGACTCCGACTCCTCCATCCCGCACCTGAGCGACCACCAGCGTATCCCCAGCTCGGCGCCCAAGCTGCTGGCTGCCCGGCCCACGCTGCTGAGCCGCTCCATGGAGGAGGCTGTCCCCGGGCCCCCGGGCCCCGGCGCGCCCACCCCCAACGGCGGCAGCCGGCACGGGGAGCCCCCCGCCCTGGCGGCTTTACAGGAGCGGCTGCCCGAGAGCCCCATGGTGATGAAGAAGATGATGATGGTGAATCACGGCATGGAGAAGTCCTCCAGCCTGGGGGAGATCAGCCACCCGACGGCCGGCAAGCCCAGCCACTCGGATTCGTCCCGGTCGCACAGCCCCAGCTCCACCGACCCCGACACCCCCTCCCCCACCTCTGACTGCCGGCCCAGCGGCGCCAGGAACACCCGCATCCCGCAGCTGGCCGCCAAGAAGAGCCCGGGGGACGAGGACAGCAGCCTGACGGGCGACGAGGTTGACCCCGGCCAGAGCAAGAAAAAGTTCCCCCTAAAGATCTTCAAGAAGCCCAAGAAGTAGGGAGTGGGGGGGACACCCCCGGACGCGTCCCGCCGGGCCCGGGGCCGGCCGTGCACCGGGAACCCAGCGCCGGCACGGGAGGAGCTATTTAAACTTATTTATTTCCCGATCTCCGAGACGAAACAGCGCCAGGCCGCCGGCTCCCCGGGAGAAGAGCCGCCCCTGCCCTCCCCTCCGACCGCTGCGGTCCCGGCTTTGCTGTGCATGGCTTCCAGTTACTCCTGCTCTGCTCAGCCACGCGGCCTTTGGGTTTGTTTTCAATGTGGTTTTATTTTTTTTTTTTTTTAATTTTATTTTCTATTGTTGTTATTAATTTGTTTTCCTGCCTCCAACTTTTGCACAGGCTGATGGAGGCTCGGGGCGGCGCCGGCTGCTCCGCGCTCCCCCCGGGGTGACTCCGGTCGCAGCGGTTCTCCCTCATTTCTCCGAGTCACTTTTCCACCCCGGCCCCCACGGCCGCGGCCCTGGGAAGGGGATCCATCCCCTCCTGGGCGGCCCTGGCTGCGGGGAGCAGGGGAGGACTCTGCCCTTGCCGGTACTCGAGTGTCCCGGTCCCCAGCGCTCTGCCCCGTGCCCGGGGAGGTTGGGGCGCGGCGGGGAGGAGCCCACGCCTGTCCCCGGCTTTGCTTCCCCGGGCATCCTCCCCATCCTCCGAGCCCCGGGGACCCGGCTGAGGACCCCGGTGACAAGGGACAGTGAGGGAAGGGCCATGCCGAGGGGTGTGGGTGCAGAGCCAGGTCCAGCTGCCACAGCCACACGAAGAGGAGGGGGCTCCCGGGAGCAGGGCCTGTCCCCTGTGCCCGTGTCCCCTGTGCCCGTGTCCCCTGTCGTGGCTGGGGAGGGAGTGGGACACAGCGGGGCTCTGCAGGGCAGGGACAGGCTGTGCGTGGGGGACAGAGCCACGACAGAGCCGTGCCCCGGAGCAGGCCGGGTGCTGCTGGCTCTGTGCCCTCCCGAGGTTCGCAGGAGGCTCACACAGGCAGTGTCCCCCTTGTCCCGAGGCCACACGCCGGGGTGTCCCCGGCTGTGTCAGCCCGTGGCCGCTGCCAGCACAGCCTGACCCGGGTCTCGATCTGTCCTGAGCTGCTGCCAGGGGCTCTCCCGTCCTCCCTCAGCACACTGTGGGTCACATCCTGCTGCTCGGGTGTCCCCCGTCGCAGCCCAGGCCACTGAGGGGGTCCCCACTCCGGGCAGCAACTGTGGCTGAGTCCCACTCCCTCCGAGGGCCAGGGCCGGGTCCCAGGGCTGAGCCCTGCCCCATCCCAGGGGATGAGCCCTGCTCCATCCCTGGGCCCTGCCCCATCCCAGGGCTGAGCACCGCTTCACCCCCTTGCCCCCCTCTCCCATCTCCTCCAGGAGCATCCCCCAGCCCTGGGGCTGCCAGGGGGACCCCCAAGCCCCCTCCCACCCCACTCGAGGTGGTTCCCTGGTGCCACATGACCCCCGAGCCCAGGGTCCCTGTCCTCAGCCCCCCGACCACCATCCCGTGCATCCTTGGGGGTGGGGAGGGGCTGCTCCTGGCGAGGCAGAGGAGGCCTGGCCGGATGCCGAGAGCCCCCGGGGCCTTGCTTTATGCCAGAGTAATATATTTGTGTCTTGACAATTCAGGAAGGGCTACAAAGGCGTTTTTTGTTCTGTAGGTGGGAGTTAAACAATTTCACTGTTGCTTTGGGATAAGTGAAAAATTCCTCTTAATGACTTTAAGTGCCTGCATTTCCCTGGGGACGGGGGGGACACTCTTGGCCCCACAGGCAGGGCTGCTGCCTGGGCACCCCGATCCGTGGGCACCCCGATTCCCGGGCACCCTGATCAGTGGGCACCCTGATCCGTGGGCACCCCGGTCTATGGGCACCCCGATCCATGGGCACCCCGATTCCCAGGCACCCTGATCCATGGGCACCCTGGTCTGTGGGCACCCCAATTCCCGGGCACCCCGCTGTCACGGGCAGGGCCCCCTGGGAGCGGGGCCAGCAGGGTCGGGGCCGGAGCTGCTTGTGGTGGCAGAGACCTGTGGATGCTTCTGGAGAAGGGGTTGGGGATCCCCCAAACGACAACTGTTGACGCATCTGCCAACTCTTGATTTAAGGTGTTTTTTTGTTTTTGTTTTTGTTTTGTCATTTCATAAAACTTTTCAATCCAATAAAGCATGTAGTCTATTTTACGAGCCGCTGGCTGCTGCTCTCTTCTTCCTGCCCTTCCCAGGCTTCCAGCACAGTGGGATCGGGGCGTTGGATGCCTGCTGGGGACGTGTTCCTGGCCAGGTCGGTGGGGACAGGGACACCCCGGCTCCCCCCTGCCCCAGGGCCCTGCCATCGTCCTCTCCCATGGGAATTGGATCGCAGCTCCACAGGCAGGGCGGGCACGGGGCTGGATCCAGCCCGGGCCCATCCTGACATTGCCACGGCCATGGGGACACTGCTGGCAGCCAGGATGGGGACAGGCAGCCACCCCCGAGCTGCCTCAAGAGATGTGCCAGCTCCGTGGGCAGCGGCTCCTGCTCACAGAGGCCCCCAAAACACCTCTGAGGTGCGGGACGCTTCCAGACAAAATAATGAATCCCACACTGGGGTGGATCAGTGGCTGGGGTCTGCCGGGACGGCGATGGCACAGGGGCAGCCAGCAGCCATCCCATGGGATGTGTCCCGGCAGATCCCGGTGTTCCCAGTGCCCTGATGTCCCCATCTCCACACCCCCTGTCTCTCCAGCACCCTGCTCGGGGGAGATGCTGCTCCCTGCAGCCTCAGCCTGCCCATCCTCACTTTGGAAAAACATTTTCCATGGCAGGAACCGGCGCTTCCCGAGCCTTCCCAAGCCCGGCTTCTCCAGGTGGCCAAGCTCCTGCAAACCGCACGGCCCTGGGGCTGCCTGCTCGTTAGCCTGGCGCTCATTAGCGCTCATTAGCAGTCATTAGGGCCGGCTGCCTGCGCGGGGAAGCTCCAGGAGGAGGGCAGGGCTCGGGACACCGGTTCCAAGGCGTGTCCCTGCCCTTGGCGCTGGCACGGCTGGGGCAGGGATGGAGTCTCCATCCATTCCCTGCGGGAGCAGCGGGAGGTGAAGCCTGGCGGGGCCAGCAGTGACTCCGTGCCCGGCTCTCTCCGCAGCGCTGCTGCCGCGCCCCGAGAGCTCTGCTGGGGCAGCACCGGGGCTTTCCTCTGCTCCCCCGGCCTCAAACCAGCCCCCTGCTCCACCTACTCCTGCTTCCAGAACGGAGGAGTGAAACACAGGAGAACTTCAGGGCAAACATCTCAGAGTGCAGCTCGGGCTCCAAGCAGAGCAAAATGCCATTTGGGGTTATTTTCCTTCTGTAGGTCCTTTTCCAATAAAACAGCGGCACCACCCCAACTTTATTCCCATTTCCTGATCGGTTCCAAACATTCCCTGTATCCCCTCTGGACTCTCTGAGCAGGACCAGGCTCACCTGGTGCATCGGGCACCTTCCCAACCACCCGGGGGGCTGAGGAACCCCCCATGGCATCTGCCTTGGAAGGAAAGCCCTCACCTCGGAAGGGACAGTGGCCCACCCACAAGCAATAAAAAGCTGAATTTGCAGCCCCTTTGAGCCCCGGGATTTCTCCCTGAGCCTCTCAGGATCAGCCTCAGCCCGAGGGTGACTTGCCTGTTGGTGGTTCATTGTTCTGAGCAAACATCTCCGCTGTGCTGCCGCATTTGGCTGCGCCCCGTTCCCCGCAGCATTCCCGACCCTGCTGGGATCCAGGGAAAGGGACCCCTCGGAGCCTGCAAACCACCAACAGGAGATGTTCTCCTGCCACTCCGGCTCCCGAGTGCCACAGCTCCTGCTGCCTCAGCCAGCCGGAGCGGGACTGGAGGGGAGCTGGTGGAGTCTGGGGCTGGATTCTGCACGGGAACCTCAGCAGGGTTTTAGTGCTGCTGCCCCGAATCCTCACAAGATTTGCAGATCCATGGAATGTTTGGATTGGAAGGGACCCCAAATCCCACCCATTCCCAGCCCTGCCATGGCAGGGACACCTCCCACTGTGCCAGGAGCTCCCAATGTCCAGCCTGGCCTTGGGCACTGCCAGGGATCCAGGGGCAGCCCCAGCTGCTCTGGCAATTCCATCCCAGCCCCTGCCCACCCTGCCAGGGAACAATTCCTGCCCAAGATCCCATCAAATCCTACTCTGAAGCCATTCCCTGGCTCCTGGCCCTGCAGCCCTTGGCCCCAGTCCCTCTCCAGCTCTCCTGGAGCAGCTCCGTGGCTCCCCTGGGCTCTCTCCAGCAGCTCCAGGTGCTGCTGCTGTTGGTGTCCCAGGGCTGGAGGCTCTGCAGGTGCAGCTTTGCTGCTTTTGAACTTGGGAGAGAACTTTCTGTAATTTCGGCTCTTTCCCTGCTGCTCCTGTGCCCCAGGCAGAGATCGAGGGCACCGCGGCCGTTCCAGGGAGCCTCAGATTGTTCCTGTATTCCTTGGACACCTCCAGGGACGGGGGCTCCGCCACCTCCCTGGGCAGTGGCATCCAAAGTTTAATCAAACATTCGCTCCTGGGCCTTAATTTCCAATAATTATAATTACGATCGTTATTGTTCTGGCGTTTTAGGACGGGGGTATTTTGTCCCTCCGCGGGCTCTGTCTTTGGCGCCCTCGGCTCCGTCCTGTCCCTCCGTCTCCTCCCCCCGCGGGGGGGGAGCCCTGGCGCCGCCATCTTTGAAGCGGGCGGGATTCGCGGTGTTCCCCGGCGGGGCGGCGATTCCCGGGGGAGAGGCGGGGAGAACATGGGGATCAGGGACGGGATCAGTGTCCGTCACCGGCCACAGGCAGCGCCGGGAGCGGGGCGGTGCGGGAGGGGGCACAGCACGCGCCGTGCCCGGAGGCAAGATGGCGGCGGCGGCCTCAGCGGGGCGGGGCGCGCGCGGCGGGCGCGGGAAGCGGCGGGAGCGGAGCTGCCGGGAGGGACGAGAGGGACCGAGGGGACTGAGGGGGCTGAGGGGGGCTGAGGGGGGCTGAGAGGAACTGAGGAGGAACCGCCGCCGCCATGCACGTCGTGAAGCGAGGTGAGCGCTCCCCCCGCTGCTCGGGGGGTCACGCACGGCAGCGAGTGGCGGGGATAGCGGGCACTGCCCTGCCCAGGGCACCCCGGCTGCGGGCTTGGGACCCCCCGGCTTTAGGGGTCCCTAATGGCACCTGGAGGGGAATCCCTGCCCCATTCTGGGGTTCCCTCCGCTTTGGGGTCCCTTGCATGGCACCCCAGGTAAGCAGATGGGAATCCCCCCATTTTGGAAGGGTCCCTCGTGGCACTCCTCAGCTTTGGGGTACCTACGGCACACGGTGCGGCCGGGTGAGACCCCCTTTGGCTTTGGGGTCCCCCTCACGGCACCCAGAGGGAGCAGAGGGGGAGCCCCTTTCCCTCAGGGGGGTCCCACGGGAGAAGATGGGACCTGGTAGGAGGAGATGGGCTCCCCTCGGTTTGGGGGGAGCCCAGAGTGAGGGATGAGACCTCACGCTTGCTTGGGTCCCATGGCAGGAGCTTTGGGCTCGGTCCCCACCCCTTTGGTCCCAGGGGTCTCCAAGCTGAGGTGGGGGTGACCCTCAGCTGGGTCCCCACCCTGGGAATTGGTTTGTGCAGTTTTTGCTGGGAATTCCTGGGGTGGAGGGGGAGCCTCCCCTTTCCTTGTACCCCACCCAAGTAGGCTGTTCCTGGTGATTCCCACACCAAATTCCCCCACAGGAGGGGCTGGGCAGGGGCACTCTGTGCCACACTGGTTCTTACTGGGCAGCACTGGTGTGGCTGGGCAGGGGCACTCTGTGCCACACTGGTTCTTACTGGGCAGCACTGGTGTGGTGTGTCCCCAGATGGGCGCCAGGAGCGGGTCATGTTCGACAAGATCACATCGCGCATCCAGAAGCTCTGCTACGGCCTCAACGCCGACTTCGTGGATCCCGTGAGTCCCACCCTGCCCTGGCCCCGACTTCTCCTGGGCAAAAGCCCAGTGGAAACCCAGGCAGGAATTCCCAGGGTGTCCTGGGCTGGATTTGAGGGTTCCTGTTCCCACTCAGGATGGTCTGTGATTCCGTGAACTCTTGGCAAACACATCCAGAACATGTTTGTTGGAATTGTGTTCTGAGGGGTTTTGCTTCCCAGCTGCAGAGACCCTGGAGGGGAAAATCTCCTTTCCCTGCTGTAGATCCTTTTCCTCTCAAACCTTGTGGAAACTTTTTTTTTTTTTTAAATAGTTTTGTTGCTCCAGTTCCCATATTTTGGATTTGGTAGGTTGCTCCCAGCATCAGTCTGCAAAGCTGGAGCAATGCCACATGGAAGTAGCTCTGGATCCCGTCCTGGTCAAACTAGGACAGCATTCCCTGCCAGTGCCACATCCCTGCTTGTTTTTCTGAGCTGATTTGGGGTGGACATTGATCCCACTCAGGGAAGCTTCTCCTTCCAAAGCCTGTGTCCAGGATGACTCCCTGTTGGATCCACTGATGTCTGTGAGATTTCTGTGCAGGACTCAGACCCAGCGTGGCCATTCGCAGTCACCAGTTAAGGCTCTTCCCATCTCCCAGGTTCTCATGGTCCATTCTCTGAAATTCCACCTGTCAAACAGTTGCCATTGGTCCTGTACCCAACAGTCTTTGGGATGGACAGCAGGAGGAGGACACTGCTGACCACAGCATGAAGTGTCCTGACTTGTCCCCAGTGACTGGGAGTTGGTGCTGAGGACAGAAGTGAAATTCCGAGTCCTTGTGCCCCTGAATTGTTATTTATTCTGCAGTCGTGTGTGACCTCTTTCCCTGGAGCTCAGTTTCTCCTTTGGGACTTGGATCTGCTTGTGCCAGAAGCTTCCCAGGCCAGCAGTGACCCTCCCACACCCTGTGCCAGTGCTCCCAGGGAGGCTGGAAATCTCACCAGTTCTGCAAAGGTTCCCTAGAGACTGGTCAATCCTATTGCCTGGAAACCATCCTTACACAGAATCCCAGACTGGTTTGGGTTGGAATGGGCTTTCAAGCCCACCCATTCCCAGCCCAGCCATGGCAGGGACACCTCCCACTGTCCCAGGAGCTCCCAATGTCCAGCCTGGCCTTGGGCACTGCCAGGGATCCAGGGGCAGCCCCAGCTGCTCTGGCAATTCCATCCCAGCCCCTGCCCACCCTGCCAGGGAACAATTCCTGCCCCAGATCCCAAGATCCAGCCCTGCCCTCTGCCACTGGCA